AACCTTAGTCATCCGACCGTCCTATCACCAGTCTACCCAGTCCAGCTCGCGATAGTAGAGCGCATCCCAACCAGTAGCTGGTTAAGTCATCACCTCGCTAAGGTTAACCTGGACTGACGCGCAGTTCCTACTTCACCATGCAGCCCCATCACTCTCTCCCGGCGCGACCGCCGCCTAGCACATATTCGGCACCGCCTTCAAGACCAAACAACGCTGGCGCGCGCGCCCAAGGCAACTCGCCTATGTCTGCTGGTTTTACACCGCGCTCTGTAGCAGCTCATGCTCCTCCACAGGCGTTTGCTGCGCCAGCAAACTATGCGCAAGCCCCAGTGAGCGCCCCCTACCAAGCACCCGCTTACCCGACCAGCAATGCTTACAACAACTACTCGTACCCAGCCTATGCACCGGGTGCTCCTACTACGACCTCATACACAGCTGCCCCGACCGTGAACCGTGGGTTTGCTGGCACCTATGATCCCGAAGAAGAGGCTCGGATCGCCGAGTGGAACAGCGCATACAATGCCGGCGATGCGAACGCGAAGAAGAGCGGCAGCGCAAGCGTAGGCGCTCGACCGGAAGCATCAGCCCCTCAGGATGCCGAAGCAGCGGGACCGACAGCTGATGGCAAGCGCAAGACTGTCGTCCGTGAGGGAGGTGGAAAGCAGTGGGAGGACGAGACTCTGCTCGAGTGGAATCCGTTGCATCCGCGACTGTTCATCGGTAACCTCGCTGGTGAAGTCACCGACGACTCGCTCCTCAAAGCATTTGCAAAGTACCCCTCCTTATCTAAAGCCCGCGTCGTGCGAGACAAGAAGTCCACCAAGAGTCGCAGTTACGGCTTCGTCAGCTTTTCAGACACCGACGATTACTTCCGCGCTGCCAAGGAGATGAATGGCAAGTACATTGGCAGCCACCCAGTCCTCATCAAGCGCGCCACATCGGAGGTCAAGGCCGTCACAAAGAAGGACGACAGACACAAGCAAGGAAAGAACAAGAACAACAAGGATAACAAGAACAAGTCTGGCAACGGCAACAACAGTACTCCCGCGGTAGTAGCATCTCCTGCCATGTTCATTCCCCGTGGCGTCCAGAAGAAGGGCAAGTCGAACGGTCCAAGGGTGTTGGGTTGAGACCTAGTGTGGTTAGTGACGACATTAACACGGCAACTCGATAGATTATCCAGATATGTGCGATAGCCCTACACCACAGGGTACTTCGAACGCGTTCAAGGTTAGTCTTGCGATTGGTCTTCATCGTTTTATGTTTCAAGAATATATTCCCATCTTTTAGAGTTTGAGTCTCTGTTATTTCTAGTCTAGCGTTAAATGGAGTTTCAGCAGTGCCAAGCACGAGGAATATGATGGTCGCTTCTGTCGTTGAGGCAGAGCGCAAATCCACGCGTCGATGCGTATATGAGTCGTTCACGGCGTGAGACCTTTCCTTTTAGCATGTCCTTTGGAGACATCTTGTTGTAAGTTACTGTTAGCACTAGATTATGAGGATTGTCGGCACCTGTACCGTGTCCTGCTTGCCTTAGACATGTACAAAATTTAACGATTTAAGCCTTGACTTGAGGCGTCCTGAACTTCAAGCTGGTTGGCGATGGGTCGAAACACATGTTTCTATGTTCGAGGGCCGTTGAATGAAGTGGAGCCTACGCTGTAGGGGCCGAATGGGATGAGTTTAAATTCCTTGCAGACTACCTTCACTATCCCTTACATGCTGGGGAGGCCGAGTCATCACTGCAATTAACACGTGCAGATCTCCGAGCATACATCTATGTCTGCAGGATCTTGACAGCGCATCTCATTCGATCTGCTGCAAGAACACCATTGCCGACATTGATTGTCGAATTCGCCCTGTCCGTCACATTTGATATAGCCATGAGTCTTTATGGGGCGAGAGTGGACGAGATCCTGTTCGTAGCCCATCGACACATCATCAATGGCTAAGCCGGCAATATGTAATGGATCGGTACTGGTGTTCGTATTCTGCGTATGCAGGTCGGAGACGGTGACTTCATGCTTCGCAAAGCTGGACAGGCTGTAATGGACGGCTGCAAAATGTTATAAGAGGCTTATGTTCCCGCTATGACATAATTTCACGAACTAAGATGTCTAATGAGGGTCGACTTACAGAAGAGTTTGTGTTGGCATTGCTCATTGTGGACATTGACGAGCCCGCGAGCAAGGCCCGGCAATGAGGCACTAGCAGATAGCAAGAAAGAAGCAGCAATGCTAATGCGTAGAAAGATCACGATAGGAACAGTAATTGGATGAAGGTATGTCTATACAGAGTTGAGATGAGTCAATTTCTCTATTAGGAATCAGATAACACACATTTGGAATCTGTCCGTGAGTTTATATATGGAGTTTTTGCTCGTGCACCTCGACAGATTTGGTTTGCGTTTGGGAAACAAGTCCGCCGAGCAACTTGGCAATATCAAGAAACACAACCGGTGAACCATTTCTGTTGATACGTGCATTAACTGTGCAGACTGATTTACAGAACTAAAGACAGTCTGGAGGTGGTTGTCTTCATGTGATTGGGTCGTGCTCTCGCGTGTAGTGTAACACAACATATGGGATGAGTTTTTACTGGTCAGCTATGATTCTTCGTCTATCAACACCATGAGCGTCAAGTGCAGGAAATCAACATAGCGGAATGCCGTCACATCATGCCACGACGCGCAATCATCAACGAAACCGGTGGTACGTCGTGCAATGCTTGGGTTTCCTTCCCAAGTGCCGTTGTTCCGTTGGTTTATTAAGTCTCCACAGAATGTCGACCTATTAAGTACTCACGTCTATCTTCATCCCACACAACAGCTTTGGCACTCTAACGCATCTTCGTTCTTCTGTAGGTCTTGCCTGATGCTCTATGGTGTAGTGCACAAAAGTAGAACAACCTCGCCTTCTGTTATTATACTTACGAAAATTGCATGTCTGTGGCGATATGCCAGTTACATTTCCTGGTGTCATTCATACCGATGTACTAAATTTCCACTTGACTACTCACATAACGTCCTCACCTTCTCTACAACCCCGTCCCTATCGCCCTCAACACCCAAACAATCCAGAAAATCATAACTCATATACTCCCTCCTCGGCACCCTCGCCCTCCAACACAGCCTCGTAGTATGATATCTCATCTTCTCCTTCCAGACTGCATCCTCACTCGTCCCCCACCTCGCCTGCCCACTGCCCATCCACGTATACTTCAGGCCATATCTACCATCAATCTCTAACACTGACCCGTCCTCCTTCCGTAACCCCAATGCTCTACATGCCTCAATCTGATCCTCCAAACCAGGCCAATCGGGCAACAAATCCTCTCTCGTTTCGAACTCAAGATTGACCTCCTGGCAGCTACTCGGTAGAACCAAACTCGCCACCGTCTCTGCAAGTCGTTGTCGTTCCTTCAATTCGGCGAGTAAAGGCGGAAGGAGGTAGGCGCATATCGTCCAAGTAATCCTCCTCCAGCGTAGATGGCTTAAGAGGAACTTATTGAAGTTGGACGCTTTCAGCGCAACGAGGTTATCGTGGAGATGGTACAGTTCTGCGCCTCGCTGCTTGGTGATATGGTGGAGCCAGATGTCTCCGTTGTACAACCATGATGTACTGCCTAGGTACCGGAAATGGTGTGTGGAACTGCGCAAGGAGATTTGGTGGGCTTCGACATAGATGAGGCGGCATGTTAGGAGCAGAGCTGAGTCTATTTTGGTACGGTGCGTGTGTCGGGGGCGGTATAGTGGTGAGATGGAATGGGTGTCGATAGGGCGGGTGGGATCATGTTGTTGAGACAGCACGTGTTGGTAGATTGTGAAACGGATTTCTGCTGGCAGGACGGCGAAGAATAGAGATTGGAGCTGAGGGTGAGACGTTGATGGTGTCAGGGCGGCAAGGTCTCGACGGATTGCTCGCGCGGCGCGTTGCCGGACGTAGCGGTCTTTGGGTAGAGATTTTGGCTGTGGCATCTTTTGGTCGTTGTTGTCTTGGTGTACGTTGAATGTACGTTATTGGCTATGACGTCGTCCGGTAGGCCAATGATGGTTACACGTGACAAAACCTATCTTTACCATGTGAATCTTATGTAAGCGCCCTTATCATGCCAAAATATATCTCTTTTGATGTTTATGACCAACGTCTTGGCGCATTAGAAGCAAGATTGCTGCGTATCTGTCTGGCCGCAGATCTCCCGGTGCAGATGAGGTTCCGCTGAGGGACGTGCACCAGCTATCGAGCTTTCTCTCAAACTCGACTTTCACTACCCCACTTCATCGTTCACCGCATACGTAGTGGTCTACGACGATTCCATCCAAAAGACAGAGAAAGGTACTCGCACTTCACTTACAGCAATGGTTCCAGAGCAGAGCTTCACCAGAGCTCTGAGCACAACGGAACAAATCGGCTGAGACACGGGCCTCGGGTGTCTACAAGACTATCTAATCTTAGCGGGCATTGTGAACTGTCTCTGCTCGGACCTACTCGGAGACATGATAAAAAGACGTAGGCCCACTAGGCTAAGTCTAGGGCAACAGTCATATATACAGAAACTGTTACCTACAAACGCCTGCTCCAATGACTTTGTTACCGGAAACAAATGGCTTGTAGCCATCGACGCCAGCTTGCTTTGTGAGATAATGACTTATTCACAGTGTATAACTTCGCCAAAGGTTTGACTCGATGTCGCCTATAACACTGTCGCGGCAGGCAACAATCTCAAATCCTTTCACCTTGCGAACTATTCTCACACAAGGTCGCTGGCAGCTCGGACGGGATATATACAAAAAGCAATTACAGGTAAAGTCACTACACAGGGTGACTTGTGGACCGATGTCAAGGCAACACGCAAATGCTGGCCTGCCTATAACTAAAGGCCTTTCAAGTTCTTCCGGACTCAACAACGACTCTCGACTCAACTCCCACCCACTACTTTCAAACTCTTTAAGCAAGTCCATCAGTAAAGTCGGGATCCAAAACCTTGGTCAAACTACCACAATGGCTCCCCAACCAAAACGACCAGTCCTGACCAGCACGCTATCTGCCTTGCTGTCAACGGCCACACGCTCTCGTGCTACCTCAAGGCCGGCACTACCCACTGATCTCAACGCCGTCCTAGTCAAGTACGGTCTTACCCATCAAGACCTCAAGAAAATCGAGGATGTGCTTATCGACGTTGCTACTGAGGCAGGTAACATCATGGTGGCTGCGGAGTACTCCCTCGTCATGACAGCCCAGACCAAAAACAACACGTCTGACCTTGTCACCGTGTTCGACAAGCAAATTGAAGACATGGCCGAGGCGCGCTTGCAAAAGGCCTACCCGTCCTTCTACTTCCTCGGGGAAGAGACGTTCAAGGCTGGGACCAAGCTGGCCGACGGACCAACATTCGTGGTTGACCCGATCGACGGCACCCTAAACTTCACACAGGGTGTCCCCAATTGCGCAATCTCACTTGCATTAACGCTCGATAAGAAGCCTGTTGTCGGTGTTGTGTTCAATCCCTTTCGAGGGGACATGTACCACGCAGTCAAAGGCCAGGGCGCGTTCTTGACAAGGCCTACCACGGGGAACACGGTTAAGCTTCCTGTTCAGCAGAACCCGAAGCCAATGCCGTCACTCAACTCCTGCTTGGTGGCTGTCGAGTGGGGTAACCAGCGCAAGGGCCCTAACTGGGCACTACGCACTTCCGTCCATAACGTCCTTCTGACGTCCAAAGATGAAGGTGGCGCGATGTGCAAGTCGGTACGATCTAATGGCTCCGCAGCATTAGACTTCTGCTATGTTGCACACGGAATGCTCGATGCATTCTGGGAAGGTGGAGTTTGGTCTTGGGACGTGGCCGCTGGATGGTGTATCCTTGAAGAAGCTGGCGGAATCGTCGCGAGTGCTAACCCTGGTGATTGGGACCCAACGCTCGAGGGTCGTCTGTACTTCGCTGTGCGCAATGCTAAGCCTGAGGAACAGAAGGCTGTAGTGGAGGAGCTTTGGGGATTAATGGGTGATCGCAAGTTTGTGTTTTGAATGTAGTTCTTGGAGTCTTCACGGTAGATCAGGTTCTTCATGCTGGAAATTATATTTAGAAATCTTATACACTTTGACACTGAACAGCGTTTTGTACAAGTATCAAACCATACAATGAACGACGATATCCTTCAGTGAAAAGCAACGGAAACTTGAAAAACTTGTCCCTTGCTTTCTGCCCCCTAATCCAAGAGCAACATACTGTGGACTTTCCGTAGTTCATTATAAACTCTTTCCGGTGAAGCCTTCGGCCATCGCTGCTTCTACTTAGCAGCGCATTAGTTTAACTGTTCGAACATTTGTGTACCTGTTTATCGCACCTTCTGCGTCAGTACAACGCTCATTCTTTATGTCCTGGAAAGCACCAGTACCCGTGTCCTAACATGTACAATCAGAGAACGCCAGAGCAACTGCACACCCTAGTCTTGAGGTAGCTACGACAGGCACTTACTTTCTCATCCAGCGTGAGATCAAAACAAACGTCCTCCATCACATCTCCATCACAACATACCTCTACGCATGATCATCAAGCCTCAGCGAAGCATCATTTGGTATCACACCGTTACTCTATAACATATCCTCATTGCCACTGCGGCATACTGTTCGTTAGCACCACACACATCACCTCAACTGCATTGCCCTAGAATTCGACACCAGTGCACTTGTACGGTGTGCAGCCTCTACAGACAACCCTCACTATACATCACCTTTATCATTTCGTACCCGACAACTACATCACCACCCTATCGGACCATAACTACAATCCATGCAACCTTGCACTGATTGGGTACATGCCATTTGACGTTCGACCTTACAACAACCCAGCTCGACCCAGGCGCCGCACTCACTCATACCGGCCAAGTGTCATTCACAAACGCCGCACCATCTTCGACCAAGGCCACAACCCCAGAACACACTCATACTCTGGCAGGCCACTCACTTCGCACGAAAGACTGCACGTTGCTCGTCAGCGGCTCCGCAAGTTCGAGAAGACACGTTCTCGAAAGGTGCAGAGGAAGACTTGGGTCCGTAACGGAATCTCATCTTCTCCAAGCACGCTAGACAAATTTCGCCTCAAATTGAAGAGAATCTTGAGCGGCAGATTCTGAGAATCGACACGCCTAGATCGGAGGACTAGAGTGTGTTTATGAGCACGACTGCTACTTCTGTAACAAGTGCTGTGTCTTGTGCTGCACTCCCAGCTCCAACCCAAGGACAGGGTCGGACACTCTCGAGCTACAGACCGGCACTTATTAACCCACTTGAACCCCGCGAGAGAAGAAGAATCATCGAAGAGCGAAGACAACGCAAGCTCAGGCGCCTCGAAATCAAGGCTGAGAAGAAAGCAAGCCGGAAGTTGAAGAAGGGACTACGCGCTAAGTTAGCCGATCTCTTGAGCATCCTCCGTCTGTGGTAGACAACACCACTTTTTCATGTCTTGTGCCGCATCCACAACCTGTGGGGTTAGTTCTTGTGCGACATCTGCGCCTGCAGTCACAAGCACTGTTTCCGGTACTTCTAGCGTACTATCTGGTTTCGGACAGAACCATCCCGCTTCCAAGCTCACTGAAGAGCAAAAGGAGGCGCTGAAAAAGAAGCAAGAGGCACGCGAAGAGAAGAAGCGACAGGAAAGGGAGATCCGATACAGAAATTGGGCCGACACCAAGGCCAAACTCTCCGACGCGACTAGCAAGAAGGCCAAACTTCGTCTATACGCAACCTTGCTGAGGCTAAGACTTCACCTCTAGGCTTGAAGTTAGTTTATGGCAGACTGTGGTAGCTATAGTGCCGGCGATTGTGGCGGCAGCAGCTCATTTGGAGACTCGGGTACTTCTAATTGTTACACCTCTCATCACGCAGGAGACAGCGGCGGCTACTCCATAATAACAGGCGACTCGGGGACTACCTATTACAATCTAACGCCTGAAGAGGTAGCGGAGCGTGAATGCAAGGGGAAAGAACGACAAGAGAAGAAACAACAGCGAAGAGAAGCCCGAGCCGAGGTCGCTGAATCAGTCAAAGCAAAACGTAACGAAGCCATAAAGAAGAGGGAGAAGATCCGGTTTGCCGTGACGTGGCTCACGCTCAAGCTTCATCTTTGAGCTGCGCTACTGTATCTTCAGACTCTGAATGGATTCTTTCTCGGTATCCGCAGATTGTGGAACGATATCAACGGCAGACTGTGGGACTGCATCGGGAGGTGATCACGGAACGACATCTGGACACTGCGGAGCCGTCTCGGGAGACGATACTGCAGGTGACTGTGGTGCCAGTTCGGGGCAAGATCACTCAATAGAACGTGACTTCACGTATACTGACTTTGCCCCCGGACCACAAGCGGCCGCTGCAGGCTCTTCAAGTCCTCCGGGTCCTCAAGCACTGCCAGATACTCGCTCACCAGAGGAGATTCAGGCGCAAGAGCAGCAAGCAGAAGCCAGAGCGCAGAAGAAGAGAGAAAGGAAAGAAAAAGCAAGAAAGGTGTTCAACAGCGTCAAAGCTGTGGCAGAAAACATTGTCAAGGGCAAGTTCTGAGACATCAGCCCGCCTCTTGCGCTGCGTTCTGGGTTCGCATATCTACCAGCAGGTTTAGGCTCAAGACCTCCTGAAGGTTGCACGTATGGGGGCAAGTGCTCGCAGTAGTCGTAGTGTGCGATTCTCTCACGATACAAGCCATCACTCTGAGGCCGACTTCAGCCTTTGGCCGGGAGTTTACGTCCATCCTGGGCAATTCAAGCACGCCTCCGACAAGGCTAGCGAAGAGGAGGCGTGGCAAAGGTGTCGCACTCGTCTGAAGAGATTGAAAGCTCGTTTGCGCAAGAAGACAGACAGACAAAGCCAGTCGCATGGCAAACGTCGATAGTTCCGACGTTCCTCGCCCTAACGAGGCTGAGCACACCTTCTTTCAGAATGTGACCTGCTATGTCCACATATACGCGCCAACGACTTTGCATGCAAGCACCAGAAGTGCAGTGCCGGAGACGCGTGCGGCTGTTGGAAGTTCATATCAGTCGGAATCTCCCCAGTCGGCGACCGAGAACCCATTCACAGTCGCATCCAACCTCTACCTTATCAATCTTGAGCGAGCGAAGCGAAGAAGGCCGGGGAAGAGGCAAGCTCTCCTTGAGTGGTCCGATTAGAAAGCTCCAGAAGTTACTTGACAAGGTAATCTAGAGCTGGTAACAATCGGTCGTCGTAAATGCGGTGCTGCAGAGGCCATACTGGCAAACCTCGTCGACCTCGACGGCCTTTCGGCCGGCGTCAAGATATTTTCGACTGGAATAAACGGCGCGAGAGATTCTGGCGCTGGCGAAGAATTCATGTCCTGGCGTTGAAGTACTGGGTTGATGATGTCGCTCGTCGCTGACCCACGGCCACTCGGAAGTGAGCACAGACCGTCCGCAACAGTGCAGGGCATTGGAACTGCTGCTCGCCAGACTCCACGCCATGTTCGCCCGCACTACCCGCAATACCCTTGCGACAGCCTCGAAACAGCCGTACATATGTCACTCATGTCTGCGCCGAGTCAGGCAGTCTCAATTGGGCGCTCTACACCTGCCAACGCGTCACACGACACGATCTCTCCAGACTGAGACGCAGCCACCACCGCCTCAAGATGGCACCGCCTTTCGCAAACTGCTGAAAGACGCCGCAAAGCAACAAAAGAAAGACAAGAGCGCCTCTGCTGGCTCATCGAAGTCTTCGAAAAAGGGCAAAGATGCACGGCTAGAGAAGTGGGAGCTGACGGTCGGAATTGAAGTCCATGCCGAACTCAACACCGCGCGGAAGCTCTTCTCCAGTGCTGCGACCTCGATCAGCGAATTACCAAACACTCATGTCTCTCTATTTGACGTCGCATTTCCTGGTACTCAGCCTCACTTCCAGAAGGAAACCCTCCTCCCCGCCCTGCGCGCCGCTATAGCCTTCGATTGCGAGATTCAGAACAAGAGCAGCTTCGACCGCAAGCACTACTTCTACCAAGATCAGCCCGCTGGATACCAGATCACACAGTACTACGAGCCTTTCGCGAAGAATGGAAAAATCACCCTCTACCCCCATGACTTTCCGCCTGGTGCTGCCCCGCAACCAGAGCCCTTCGACATCGGCATCAAGCAGATCCAAATGGAGCAGGATACCGCAAAGACTGTGCAGCAGCCTCCTTCGACCCACCTACTCGACTTCAACCGTGTCTCGCATCCTCTGATCGAAATCATTACCCTCCCTCAGATCCACGATCCCACAGTTGCAGCCGTCGTCGTTCGCAAAATACAAAACATACTCAAAGCTGTCAATGCCTGTACAACGGGCATGGAATTGGGTGGGCTGCGTGCCGACGTCAACGTATCCGTTCGTCAACGCGGAGGGGAGTCTTCCGAAGCTAGCCACTCATACTCTGGTGTTACAGGGTTAGGCCAGCGGACTGAGATCAAGAACTTGTCAAGCACGAAGGCTGTCGAAGATGCCATCATTGCTGAACGTGATCGACAGATTGACCTAATTGAAAGTGGCGGTGCTGTTGAGGGCGAAACACGTGGATGGACTCTTGGAAGCAAGACCACCAAACGTCTTCGAGGCAAAGAAGGCGAGATTGACTACCGCTACATGCCGGATCCAGATATTGCACCTGTCTTTATCGGACAAGTAAGCCTTGCCTGCAATAATGATGCGAACGTTCTGCTAATCGTTTCAGGACCTTGTTGAACACCTCCGAAATACCCTACCAAAGCTCCCCGATGTGACTGTTGATCTACTCGCAAACATCTACGGGCTCACCACCAAAGACGCCATCACACTCCTCTCTCTCGACGACGGCGAACGCTTGGAGTATTTCGCAGACGTTGTTCGCTGCCAAGTAGAGAGTGAGCAGGTCGAGAAGGATGTTCCGTTGGCATCATTGGGCAAAACCACCGGGAACTGGTAAGTTCGTCAACTGTGATGTCATAACTCAGGCTGACTCCTCTCAAGGGTGCTGATGGAGCTTGGCTCTCTCTTTCAAGATGAACCTTGGGATCCCGATCGAGTTCCAGCCGACTATCTTGCTAATATCATTTCACACGTACGTCGTAGAGAAGTCACATCGCCATCCGCAAAACGTCTGCTTGCCATCAAGTTCGAGGGCGACCCACGCAGCGCAACAGAAGTCGTACATCAAGAGAACCTTCTACTGCAGCCACTAAGCCAAGAAGAGTACGTGAAGTTAGCGCAGACGCTGCTAGAAGAAAAACCAGACATGGTGAGAGACATCACAGAGAAGGGTCAGGTGAAGAAGGTAGGGTGGTTCGTAGGACAGATGGTGATTAGAGCTCCGGACGGCAGTGTTGAACCAGACAAGGCTAAAGAGGTACTGTTGAACTTGCTGGATCTGGGAGAAAAGACAGAGTAGTGTTGTGGATACCCTAATGAAACACATCCTCATGATCGGTGCGCACCGCATACGTGGCTTATGTGATTGATGGCTGTAAGGGTCCAATGGGCGGGTAAGAATTGCAGAGCCCACTGATGCTTTGTATTTCGAGGAAACTAAACTGCCAACTAACACACGAGCAGTGGGATGCCTTCTCTCGGTTCCGAACTACAGAAGCCACAGTGTACAGTGGTAGCCCAATAATTAGATAATCGGACCCATTCCTGGAGCAGGAGTCGCAAACGCGACACATTTCTTGCTGATCTACGACCTGGATAGACAAGAAGACGTCGTGCCATCACCTCAGATTCAGCATCCGCAGTTCTGCACATTTGAAAGGTCAATGAAGAAAGCGTGTGAGCGACGACCTCCGCAGTCCTTTCCATAGGCCCTCTTCTCCCACAATGTCTCCCCAACCAACGGCTCTCTACCTCGCCCGCATCCGCGACCGCATCGCCGCTATCCGCGAGAACACAAATATAAATGCGACTTCCTTCAAGACCATAATTACCAATACCGTGCGCCGGGACAGTCTGGGTCGCCGAGGGGAAGCCGCTCGCCAGACACTTGCTGCATCCTTAGGTGAGTACTATGACGGATCGGAGGAGTTAGACGGTGACCTGAGGGATCTAAGTCCAGTAAAGGGACAGTGGAATGGCTGGGATGAAGAAAATGGAGAGCAAGACTGGGACGTGAGGTCCGATAGTATGGAGCCCCTGAGAGATAGAGAGAGAGAAGAAATCGATGACGGCGATGACGAATACGAAGAAGAAAGAGAAGACTGGGAACTTGATATGGACAGAGAGCATGAGTGGTATACGGAGACTGACCGCGGTATGAGCTTGGAGAGCCTTATCGCAGAAGAGAGGTTCGTGAATGGAGAGGTGGAGAGTGAAACTTATGTCGCTTATCACAGTATGAATAGTAGGGCGATGAGGAAGACGAGGTTGCATGAGGTAGAGAGGATGTATCAGAGTGGGGGAAGGTATTCTACGGTACGTCATTAATTCGTGAACATCTCAGAGGGTGATGGTACAGCAACTGATACTAACTGGGATATGTAGGTCAATAAGGCGGAAAGACGCGAGATACAAGACATGCTCCAAAAGTATAGCGAGGAAGTGCCGAACTTCAGAAGACAAGATGACGAGGACGACCTTGTTTCAAACCCCTACCCGGAAGACGACGACCTCATACCACTTACCTATCAACCCAACCACGGATCACTTCCAGCCCTCATCAACACTAACAAAGTAAATACAAAACCCTCATCCGAACTATCAATATTGACAAACCTTTACCCCGAAGACGCTCCAACCACCCAACCCCAACCCCCTCCACCCACACAATCTCCACACTCCATCAATCGCGACACCACGCCTTCTACGAACCGGTCCTATTTCCCTATATACCCTTCAGACCGTACAATATCGCCCATCACACCGTTCGTCGCATCGCGCCACATCCCATTCCCCGTCTCCCCCTCATCAACAAGAAGTCACGTATCATTGCCCTTTCAATCGGACGCCTACGCACACAACAACGATGTAGTAGTAAGAGAATATCCTCTAGGTCATCCTTACTACGATATGAACCAACAAGAGATCCAGGAATACTGGCATGACCTGCGAGGTTATAACACGGAGAGTGAGCGGCATCTAAGGCGAGGGGAGGCACCCACGAACCGCAGACAATGCTCTGCATCCTCGCCCGTTCAACACCGTGATGAATGTGTTCTTGGATCCATAGGAGGGGAATATGAACACCATGTAGGAGGTGAATTGGAGGGCGAGAGAGGGGGACAGGGTGGTGAGAAGAAGGTGAATATAGTGGGACGATTGTTAAGCACTCTCACATGTCGGCCTGGTGCCGTTTCGCCTGACGATGCTGCTGTCCCCGTCAAACATGACCAGACTGTCGGAATGGTATCTATCGTACCAAGAAAGTATGCGATGGCTTTTCTGTCTAGGAGGACGAATCAGACGCAAAGGAAGGAAGAAGACGGGAGACTCAAAGAAAGACTTCTCGGGTTGCAAATACCTCCGCCTCACGAAAAGATGACACGGGATACTGGAAATAGCAGTGATGTTAAAGAAGAGGCTCATCAGATTCCAAGAGCTAAGAGAGGACACGAGGACAAACAGTCAAGGCCGAAGCCTCGAATCGTCAATGTGGGAAGTCAAACGCAGGGTGTTATTGGCCCGCCTGTTGACCTCTCGAAGATGATACAGCGCGCACCCGAGAGCATCAGAACGTCGTCGCCATTACCCGGATCAGATGCCGGGCCTTCGGGAATTAGGAGGAACATCGAGCGTGTACCTAGACAAGCACATTCGGACTCGAGCTCAAGTCTCAGCGACCGTTTGCGGCAGACAAAGCTTGAAGATTTACCTCTCCGCTTTGGAGCAGCAGAGGAGATACGTAGTCTGATGCTTACTCTTGAAAGAGATCAGAATGGGCCAACCGATCTCCCGGTTCAACATGGAGATAGACTGTCGGGTGGTTTCAATTCAACCACTGAACTACCTGCTAGACAAGCAAACGAACTACCTGGTGGTTTCTCACGCCCAGAAAACGTAAGTCAGAATCCCACACAACCCGACCTTTTGCTCCTCCTCATTTCCTTTCCTGAATTAACAACACCCATCAGTCCACCATACCCCACAAATCCAGCTTCTCCCCCTCCCCTCGAGAAACCCTACAACGACACTTTCATACGCAGCGCCAAGCCAACAGGCAATATGCTCAGCGTGTCCGCGCTGCCAAATCACATTCGAGCAATCTCACGTTACCACCGAATTTTTGCGCACCGGAGATGCATGCTAGTTCGCCGTCTAATTCACAGGAGCCAAGTCGCTCCGTGAAGGTAGTCAGTGCTGAGGATACTGATGGCATGAATTTGGTGGAGGAAGACGATGATATGGAAGACGACGTTGGCATGGATAACAGTACTGAGAGGCGGTACGATGAAAACGAGAATGGTTTTCCAATATAAGAAGCTAGTATTGATAATAGGGCAAGCATTGGGAATCCTCGATGTGAGGTGACGACTAAAGCCATGCGAAGTTTTGATAGAGAAATTACACTTAGAATCGAGTGAAATGCTGAAAATGTGATTGAGTGATATCTGTGTTGCCTACTGTATTGTACTATCCAGCACATCCAAACAATCGTGTGCAATCATTGGCATAAAGTGATCGACAGCACGATTGCTGTGGATATGCGTCGCAAAGTCGTGATCAAAGTGATTTGCAATCGCAAGCCGTTATCATTGAATCAGCGCAGGTAGAAACAAGCGCGAACGCACTGTCCACAGGATCAACGAGTAGGTCTAGAAATGGTCAGAAATGGTCAAGAATACTAGACTTGTGATGGTTAGCACATCATCCAAGTTTTCACATCACAGCACACAGCGCAAGAACATCACAACATCACCAGAGTACGCGACAGCCGAACGATAGCGCCGCCATCCAAGCACCACATGGTCCAGACATCGCATGAGCGAAAAAGCCACCAAAGGCCAAAGGTTGATTCAGGAATGGTCATATTGTCTATGAAACATTCCTCAGCCACCACGCTGAACGCAAGTCTACGCAGACCTGTAGGGTATACTGCGGACTTGAAGATCCATCCCAATCATTGCCGTTATCCTTTTGTATGATTCCGAGACGCCTTATCATGCACAATCGTATCGTGGCGCTATTTATGCGACGAGCTGAACGACACCACCGGCCTCCTTGATCTTCTTCTCAGCCTCAGCGCTGACGTAGCGGGCGCGGACGACGATGGGGACCTCGGGGAGACGGCCCTTTCCGAGGAGCTTGGAGTAGCCGTAGTCGAGGAGGTTAAGGACGGGAGCGTTGCCACCCTTCTTGGTGAGGTACTCCTCGCGCTTCTCAACGGGGATGAGCGACCAGAGCTTGTCGAGGTTGATGACGGGCTTCCAGAACAGGTTCTGCTGCTTGTGGAAGTACCTCATACCAATCTTTCCGAAGTAACCGGGATGGTACTTGTCGATGTTGGTGCGGTGGTGGTGCTGACCACCGGCCATACCACGACCACCGGGATGCTTGCGGTGCTTGCTGTTCCATTGTTAGCGCTTGTCGCATCGCGCAAATTCGAGCCTAAATCTCGCAGGTGTGAATTACCCGACACGTCCGTGACCGGCGGAGACGTGACCCTATATATTGTATTAGCAATTGATATAATTGTAGGACGAGTACGTGACATACGCGGTGCTTGCGGGTCTTGGTAAGGCGAGTAGGCATGTTGACTTGACTGTTGGGTTAGTTACGTTCGAGCGGAAGCTGAAAGTTCAAGGCGCTGTTTTGTCTAGGTGGGTTGAAAATCGCAAGCGAGGCGCGCTAACATCGGTATAACCTTTCGCCGATGGTCACATGAATGGCATCGTCTCTCAACCACCTGCAATGCTAGAGGTAGGAACATCAAAACCGACGCCAGAGAGAACGTTGAACTGAATAATTTTGTTTGGTGCTTCAGATATGCGTTTGCCATTCCTTTGTAACAATGTTTACCGAATCCTCGCTTTCGCTATGCAATACACACTTATTCATCGACGCCAATTTGCTTCTCTAACCCCAGTATGGTGTCCGTAGACCCACAAACGTCGAACCAACACCGTCGCCTGAGTCTTCCTTCTTGCGCTGTCCTGCGAGCTGTTCAAGCATTAGCAAGATTGTTCCGCAGTGTTGAACTTCAGATCAAATTACCTCTAGTTGGATATGCCTGTGGACATGCACAAGCCAGTCAACATAGCTCTGCGCCTCATTGTTTCGGTCCTCGTACAACAACCTCGCAAACTCATACTCTGCACCGTCAAGACCTTGTCGCGCGAGTTGTATTGTGAGCGCCTTGGAGGCTCTTGTACCTTCTAGGTATTGCAGAATATTCCGTACTTGAGCATTGAGGTGCGTCTCGAGAACAGGGAGAGTGGATTGGAAGGGATCGAGCGCCTTCAAGCTATTGTTGCCTTCGCCGAAGAGGTCTTCTAGCAGGTTGGGTGAGACTTGCGTGTGTAGCCATAGTAGGCATATTTGGCCGTTGTCTACAATGTATGCGCCGCCTTCTTCAACCTTGGAGAATGATGCGCGTATGCTTTCGGGCATGACAAGATGGCCCTTTTCGTTTGCGAAGCCATCACGCGCATCGAGGTTGTGAATTGCAATAATTCGAGGGTAAAGATATAATGACATCTCCAGCGGTCCCATCGACTTGATCATCCGCATGTCATGGACTCTCCGGTCGGTGGGCTCCTTGCCTCCTTTGAAGGCTCTCGATTTGATCAGTCCAAGGATGTACATGCCGAACTCTTTCAGGTTCTCCGGTAGCACAAGCTGGCCTGGTGGGTTATTGCCAGTGAAGTTCTTCCTGTAGCCCGCAAGAATGTCGACAGTCTTCTCCGTCAGCGCTCCCCGGATCTCCTTAAGATTCTTCTCGGTCATGCGAGCAGCAGCTTCCTTAGCGATGATATTCACCACAGCATCTTGGTCGACAAACTTCATGCATTCGCCAGTGTTTGGGCTGACACTAGCCACGATGTTGGTGCACCGTACTCGTCGCTCACCGTTCGCAGCCGTATATAGGAGCGCGCTCTGGAAGTGCGCATCAAGCTTGGGATCCAGTTTGCCATCGTAGCTGAACATGACGCCGATAGCCTTGTCAGCGTCGATGACTCCAAATTCTAAATCGGCGCCAAAAGTGTGGTGATAGAAGTTTCCGTGATAGGCAGAGACCTGCAGGCCATTCGAGCAGCGAACCTTCATCAGCGCTTGATATCCGGTTTCTCGTGTGACTGTGTGCTGAATCTCCTTGGACAGCTTGAGCGTATCCCTTGGTGAATGGAAGTTGGGGTAGTAGAACACCTCTCCACCAGTTGCAGCGGAAACGTGACCTAACATGTGTTAGCAGGTAGGACCTATCAGAGAAATTCCTGGCTTACCAATTGTTGCAATGTCAAGGTAACCTCCGCTTGGTGCTGCAAGGAAGAAATCCACACCAATGCCGTTTTGCACCATCTTCTCGGCAACCTTCTTGAAACCAGGATGTTCGGTCTGGAGAAGTTTCTTCTCGGCATCGGTGTTCGATGCGTTGCCGTCATCACGTAGCATCAGTCGACCAGGACCCCAAGTGGGAAGCGCAGCCAAAGAGCATACTATCTTTCCACCGGTGGCTGACAAGGCTGCTACGGCAGAGTTCAGAGTGGGAAGCAGGGCCGGTTCAGGATTCTTGACTTCGGAGAACATGTTGGGTAATTGTGCGAGAAGCGATGTAATGACAGTCTTGGACTCCACAGGATCGACGAACAAGCCTTCGCTAAACGGTAAGAAGGGATCCTCAAGATCGGACATAACCAGCATCTGAGCGCTCGTCAAATTAGCATTGAGGTTGTAGAAGTGCATCTCCTTATCGAATGTCACGATGCCGACTTTGGCGCCCTTTGGTATGCGAGTCGCGGTTTCGCTTTCCTCTCCATCAGCTCCTGACTCGCCATAAAGTGCTTTCATGATGCCCTCACAGAACCCATGAAGGAAGCCACGGTTTACAGCCTCCGCAGTCACGTCAACCAGGAACAACCACCGTAACCCGACGGGCTCCTTCGACCAGTATTCCTTGGGCACCAGAAAGTCGACAGTGCCTAGAGTGAGCTCTGGACGCTGTAGTCTGTCTATCCGGACGCCAGATTGATCTGTAGGCGCAAAGTATTCACCAGGAACGTCTCCCGGGTAGGTACACAAGTTACACACGACCTTGTTTCCACCAGCCTTGAACTGCATGAAGGGATTGATGTATGCTCGACATCTTGCACACCTTGGTGGCCCCGTCTCACCAAAGTCCAGTACAGGTATAGGTTGCTCTCCTTCTTGTTGAGGGGCCAGCGGTTGTAAAATCATGCCAAGCGGTAGCGAGGTCGCAGAGAGGGCTTGCGCAGTAAGTGGAATGTTGTTCATCGTCAATCGGGCAAACTTAGGTGAAGAATTGCCCTGGTCAAAGGCGACGAAGGGGACCGTGGCGGGAGGTGGCAGGTGGTGCTCCATGGTTGGGTAAACATTTTCTAGGTAGTATCTTGCTGGCGCATCTCGCGACTTCGGTATGCTAGGTATCTGCTCGGGGTCTACACGTCCTTGAGCTGATCCGACCGCCGCTCCTCCAGTCTGGTGTGGTGGTGCTGGCGTTCTCGCAGCATACTGCATGGGCGAAGCTTGCGCTCCAGGAGAGAAGATGGGGTTCACGGGCGCAGGAAACTGGCTCATAGCGGGGGTAATCTGGGGCTCCATCCATTGCGCTCCTCCAACTTGCGGCGAGTTCTGGTTTAGGAACTGTGAGGGCGTACCATTCTGCGGCGAGCCAGCAAATGGTTGTGAATTCCCCCCAGGCCCCTCGAGATTATGATATGCATGTCTGTTCTTCTTTTTATTCTTAGGCTGTGCTGCTTGGTCCACACCCAATCCGACTGCCCCCATCTGCCCCGCGAGGTTGTTCACATCTTGGTCGCCCTGGTACTGCTGTTGGCCCTGCAGAGCCGTCTGATCCGGGAAGTAACTTTCCTGCTGGGCTGGCGCGCCGTATTGCGCTGGCGTGCCGGCGTACTGATTCGGGGGTGGAGCCATCGCTGGGCTTCCCGTCTGTTGGTAGCCAGCAGGGCTCGCAGCGACTGGTGGGCGCCACGTGTTGGGCTCGTCTTGCCTGCCGTTTGCATTCGGAGGATTTGGAGAGCCAGTGCCCATGGCGTGGTACCCGGCGAAGTCGGACATGGTCGCGGCGCGGGGATGTTGCGGAGGATTCGATGGACGGGACGATTCGAGGCGGGTCAGGCGTGTGGCGGAGGAACAACGGGGCACGGAGTGGTATTATAAGATGACCATATCACGGGGCGGGCATGCTGGGGTGAATGTGTGCACAGGCGAAGGGACAGATCTCGAGGAACCAAGGTTGATGATCTGTCTATTTTCTAGACCTCTACTTCCATCGAAAGAGCGCGTCCGTGCGCGCTTCCACATGCAAGAACGAGACAGGGTCCATTCACTCGCGTGTCACCAGCAGACTCGGAATGTTTCCGTCGAGGAACGGTGCGGTCTGTATCATCGAGGGCGACAGTATATACAGATCATCTCCACTGTTCATCCAACGGCACAAAACCTTCGTACCAATAAACATTCAAGTATACCAAAAGTGACCCGTCGGGAATCACTTGGCACTTCAATTGCCTGTGCAATACCTCGCGGCGGGACCATGTATATAATATCCCTGGGTTATCCCTTAGCACCCCATAGGTACTCATACCGCGCGCCCTTGGTGTATCGGTCGAAGTGGTCCAGACTATGAGCTGCGGCCGTTTACCATATTCATGATTTGACTCTCCGTGCCTTATTCCAGCTTATCCAGGTGTGCCAATCGCGTCAACACAACCTGTTTGCTCGTCTCTTCGATCTCGCCTGCCAGGAACACTTCGTCGAGGATCGCATACACCTTGTAGAAGTTGAACACCAAATCCAGCTCACACACATTGCCAAAGAATGCATCTAGCACCTCCACAAAGAAGTGGATAGCTTCTAGATATGCCAGTTCGTTATCATTTGTGTCGACGCATGCGCAGAAGAAGAGGCCAGCGTATCGGCGGTATATGATCTTGGACATGTTGCGGAACTCGACGAAGTTGGATTGATGTTTTTGGTCGCGGGGCGCGATAAGGCGGTGTACCTGTAACGAGTCTTAGTCTCATTTGGAATATCGGTATGTGAAGGTTGGAGGATGGCTGCTCGGAGGAATGGTAGAGGGAGAGAATCGCTGAGGTGGATAGATGGGTATGTAGGAAGGTGTCGCATACCTCGCCCTTTAGCTTGATCTTCTCCTCATCCTACACAGTAATTAGCGACTTCATCTACCAATGAACTTTGACGTCTCGACTTACACTGTACGGCGCATACCACTTCGCCAACCGCGTCTTCCCTCTACACGGCGCAACACATTAGTCTCCGCCCCCCTTCCAAACCAACATACGGACTTACTGCCTGTTCTGAATCAGAATAAACGAAAGCACCATCTTCGCAGTGTGCCTCGTGGAATCAGGCTCGGCGCGCTGTAGGAAGAAAGAGAGAGAGAGAGAGCGCAGGTGTGACAATGACGGCAAGCCGCGTGCTTCCCTGCAGCGTTCAGGGCTCACTTCCTGTGAAGGGAGCTGGCTCGTGCGCGGGACAGGCACAGGTCCATCCCTGCAGGAACGTGGGCGGACGGAAGTCCACTTTTTAGCCGCAACACATCGTAACGGGGTTTTCCTTTGTCATGAGAATGCAGCATTTTGCAATTTGCATAGGCTTATTTGTTTGGCACATATGGTAAACTTATGGGTTGTTGACCTGCGAAAGCCCGAGTAAGTGAACAGAGGCTATGTTTCACACTGAACAAGACTGATAACCCACCCCTCTACTTTGCACACGATGCAATGGAGCAAAACCTTCTATCAACATGTCTGAGTCGTTTAGCCTAACCTGGTCCTCAAATTCCGTTGTCACGTGTCTCGGAACCATAGGTTTTTGTCCAACATAGTTCTTGTCAGTCGTACTGTGCACTTTGGAGCGCGACTTGACGCGTCGATATCGTGTTCTGCTAACCAAAGCTCTGAGAGAGCCTACAGTTGACGTGTCAGAATGAGTTGATAGAGGTGTGTTACCTGGACGATCAAGAAGAGTTGGGTCGATGGTTTCCATGGCTACATCGCCATCGCTGTCTTTCTCATCTGAAGTGTTACCGCCCTGTCCCTGTGTCTTGTTCTTCTCCATGGTATTGGAAAGCTGACTGGCACCGCGTTCACCAGCACTTTTCCGGCGCTCCGCGCTTGCTAGGAGTGTGCCCCAAAAGTCGGTCTTGTCCGCCTGCCTCGGTGTGTGTATGTTACCACAGTTCTGGCGCGTGAGTGTGCTTCGGGGCATGAAATTGACAGGAGCAGTTAGTGACGGCATGGAGTTGACTTCGATACTAGGGAAAGACGTTTCGACAGGTGTGTGGATACCGAATCGCTTACCCCAACGACACTCGGATGGGTAGTCACACGTGTTCCAACAATCTTGCTGCCTTGGGAGTTTGTCCTGGCTATCTGCCTGTGAACCTGTATATGCTATGGCCTTGCATTTTGGGCCACCTCGGCGCCATCGACCCACAACCTTCCAACCGGAGTAATCAAACTCACTGGCGCAGGCGCGATGTTTCCGGGATTTACGTGGGCTGCTGGACTTTTGTACAGACTTGACGGTGGTAGCACCGCTGCAAAAATGGTGCCCATCCTCGAGACAACGTCGTGTCACGCCTAGGCGGTAGCTATGACGGCATTGGTGGCACTTCCACATCCATGACAAGGGACTTGTTGGCGCCTCGATAGGAGGTTTTGGGTAAACTACAACGCTTTGTTGATTCGTCTTCTCATCTCGTTGTCGATTTGGAAGAACAGGTGTGAGAGGCGTGCGCGGAGAAAACGGCGAAGGTGGTATGGAGAGAAATGAAGGCTTGAAAGGTGCTGCAGAAATGCGGAGAGGATTTCGCAACTGATGGTAAGGCATCTCAGGTGTTTTCGGGGTTTATTGGGCTCTTCACTAAAAGTGATGGGTGACCACGATATCTGCAGATAACAGTTGTTCGTTTCAAAAGATCTTACAGTGGTTGTTGCAAGTAGATCGTTCGTGCAAACTTGATAGAAACACGAGCTTCACTAGCTTCCACCATGGAGCAAAATCTGTCTTTTCTACAGGCATCCCTAATGTCAGGTGCTGTCGCAGCCTGAGCTGCGCTACTTCTTTGAAACATGGGCGAAGAGTTGTGATGGGCGTTGACAAAGCTGTATTCGACAGTGGCCTTTGTTATCGCAACCCGGTTTTACGCTATGGTGGTCTTGTGCAAACCACACGGCGGTTCCTTTGTCTGATTTACTTGCCTCGAAGATCTTTTGCTAATGTCACGGGCATGTCTTCGCTTTGTTCACTTGAGCATGCGAACAGCATAACATCGCCTTGTTAGCGTGTTCCATCCCTTTACTTACTCGAAGCCGATGACTACATGTCTTATTTCTAATTCTGGATCACACCACTAGATGCTAAACCAGCTCTTAGCCGGTGGTGGAGTTGTGCGGAATCCACGTATATGGCAGGCATCTCGATCTCCACACAAGGCACAGCCTCCCCCACACCCACCCGCCCCTGCGGGTACCTATGCTTACCCAGAGATAAGGTCGCAAACGGCGCGATTTTCAGATCGGCGAGGTATGGTAGTTCCCGTGCTTTAACATTTGGTCTTGGGATCGAGACCAGTGAACGTCGGGAGACGAAGCCAACAAGCTTGGCATGAAATGGCCGCGGTAGCTGGACCAGTGAACTTCCGTACGTAGATAATGGATGTGATATGAAAGGCATGCAACCTTCTTAAATGTTCCTTGATGTTGAGATAAGGAATGGCTGGCGTGTTGGCGATATCGTGACGGGCGGTGAGCATCAGCGATTCCTACGACGAGAGTCTGCATCAACCTACATGGTGCATCTGTCATGATTAGCTTCGGTGGTAGCGCGGTGCTCTGACATCATCTTACTAGACAATCCGGGGTTCAATAAACATTGTCGATCGCCGTCCTGGAGGAGCGGGAAAAGATAAGGAAACATGGAGAGTTGGCTTGGCACAATTGCATGGTAAACGCCTTGCGACCAAAGAAGTAAGTCAATCAGGCTCAGATTGATAAGGAAGCTGGGCGCTGCGTCCAATAATGTTCCGAGTGCTTGAACATCCTTTGGATAGTCTTGTAGGAATTTGAGATAAGCAAGTGAATATGTTGGCGTAGTATGGTGTTCAGTGTATCCATTCTCGAATTATGTACAATACATGGGTAAAGAAAAACTAGTCGAAGGTCTAAAGTATATGTCAAAAAGCACAGCTCAAAGACGGGAGCGCAAGTGGTATCTCGAAACAGTTTTGACTCAAAAAGGTCGCAAGCAACAAATCCAAATCTGCAATGCAACAAAAGCTTAGGTTTGAACCTGCTTCTCGTGCTCAGAGCCCATGGCCATAGCATGCCTGTCGCCTGCAATGCCGGTGTGCTCGTGGCCTGAGCTGTGTTCCGAAGGTGCCTTGCCCTCAAGCATCTGGCTGTGCTGGGGAATACCGTGACGCTCGCCTTGGGGTACAGAGTGCTCGCCATCGATTGGCTCGCCCTTGGCGGGTGTCCATGCGAGGTAGTCACGGCGGACCTCGACGTAATCGTAGGCGAATTCACCGAGCTGGTCGTCGTCCATACCGAGGAGCTCAGCCTCCTCAGATGCGCGAAGCTTGAGGCCGGGAATCTTGTCGATAACGAAAGCGAGGATTGCGGAGACGACGAAGGAGTAGGCGGTGACGGCAACGATGTAAGCAATCTGCTTGTAGACTGCGGCTCCCTCACCAGTGATGGCACCAGCGGCAAGTCCGTTGTTGACACCGTCAAGACCGATGATGTAGTCGGCACCGAAGATTCCGTTGAAGAAAAGGCCCCACATTCCAGCGACACCGTGCTCAGCGAACACATCGAGGGAATCGTCGATCTTAATCCAGAACTTGACTAAAGTTGTGTTAGCGAGCAGTACGCGAGCGGGGTTTTGTAAGAATACGTACTCTTGGTAGCAAAGTTAGCAACAATACCAGTAGTGATACCGAGGATAACGCTGGCCCATGGAGGCAGGAAACCAGAAGCGGGAGTGGCAGCGACAAGTCCGGAGATGACACCTGAGCACCATCCGACCATGGACCACTTGCGAGCTAGGCGCCAATCGAGGAGAACCCAAGTCATGGCGGCAAACATGGCGGTAAGGTTGCTGTTCCAGCACGCCATGACAGCGCGAAGGTTGGCACCGAAAGCGGAACCACCGTTAAAGCCCAACCAACCGAACCATAGGAAGACAGTGCCAAGGGTGATCAGGGAGACGTTGTGAGGGCGGAAGTTGAGCATCATCTTCTCCTGACGACGTCCGAGGATCATGGAGTAGGCCAAAGCTGTGCAACCGGAAACGATCTCGACGGGACCACCACCAGCGTAATCAAGTCCACCCCATACGAAGAACCAGCCGTTCGAGTTCCAAGCCCAGTATGCGACGGGGCAGTATACGATCGTGGCCCAGAGCCAGATAAAAACCATCATAGGGATCAAGCGACCGCGCTCAGCAACGCAACCGACGACAATGGCAGCAGTGACAGCGCAGAATTGCATCTAGAGACGTGTTAGTGCATGAGATCACAATATGATGATGTTTGCCATACCTGGTAGAAAGAGTACAGCAGCTCAGGAATCAGAGGACTACCTGGGCTGGGAGCACCAAGGACACCCTTGAGACCGAACTTGTCAAGGTTTCCGATGAAACCGTTTGTCGAGGGGCCGAAGGCGAGCGAGTATCCCCAAAAGTACCATTGGAAAGTAATGACGGACGCGGAGAACATGCAAGCCCAGATAAGGGAGAGGGCGGACTTTCTTCGAGCAAGACCGGAGTAGAGGAATGCGAGACCAGGAATCATGATCAACACCATGGCCGAGGCCACGAGAATGTAGGCCTGGTCACCCGCGGCGTACCATTGGTTAAGGTTCTCGGTGACTGAGGTTCACTGGTTAGTGTTCTGGTTGCGCAAGATGCGTGTTGCGCTCGGCACGTTCGCAAGTAGCATATGTGAACTTGTACTCACGAGAATCACCACCAGTGATATCATCGGTGCCATTGAATTGGGCCGGAGGGCCGATCCATGAGTACGACATGGTGGGCGTGTCCTAGGGGATTGACGGGGTACTAAGGATATACGGGGTCCTTGAGTACTATGGGGAAGGAGACGGTTCCACGGTAGGGCCTATGGAAGGGGAAGAGAAGGGGATTAAAAGCTGGATCGGTGCCAGTAATATACGGCTGCTACAGGGAGAAGTCGGAAGCCCTACTGTAGATTACGGTAGATGCGCCGGGACCTTTATGGGTGGAACTTGCTGTACTACTCTTATCTATCCTGGTCCACGGGCCAACACTTGAGGCAAAATAGACGAGGGTACATCACCCACAGCCGCGACCGTCGTGGGGTTCGCGTTAGATCCAGCCATGGAGCTTTGTTCTTTTTCTGCCGCGATTGATCGCACCGCTGCGTCATTGCTGCTCCTAACGATCTAACGCCTTATCTCGCCGCTCGCGCAACATGCAAACATGTGACGGAGAGGCGTAGCAGATAACGAGTAGCACCCACACCGGCGGCCACGTCGCGTCTGTCTGTAGGGACAGGCCTCGCAGCGGCGCCTCTCTGGCATGGGCTCAACATGAATTCGCATATGCTATTGCAGGCAACTCCAGTTTCATCCGGGGCGGAAGGCTTGGCGAGTGGGTGGTCAATGTTGCGTGGTGTCAATTGCATTTCTGGCCAAAGATAAGAAGTCGCTGTTGCCCAATCAGCGCCCACCTTGGATGCTGCGCACGCTAGCTGCTTTGGGTGCCGCATCTTCGCCGGCCGCCCTGCGACGCGTTCTCACTAGACACCAGCGAACGCCACCCCGTCCCTGACGATTTGTTTATGCGATTCACGTACGTTGTGTGCGATAAGACGACCACGGCGGTTTGGTCGCCATGCCCCTCGCGTCTAGTGCTCCTCACCTCAGAGTCTCGCGACATCAATCCACGACACGACAGTCGGGCGAACATCGGGCGCCCAACGAAGTTTGAGAAACCCAATCTTTGGGTTTTTCTGGTCTTACTGTTGCGACACGGCGCTACTTACGCACGCTCTGCAGAAAGACCGCGGCGTGCAAAATCCGGCTATGGTTGAGCAGATCGAGACACCCGTCCGACCAGCCTGCATCTGTGGTTCTTCGACTGACCGGCCAGTAACAGGTACCCACACGGTCAGCAGTCTAACCTCGTCAAACGCCCAAATTGGGACTATTTTCAGACGATTCTCTCAGTTATTTCCAGTGAGCCGGGCTACTTGCCGGAGAGTAAAGACTATCAGACCCTGTTTCCCGATGGCCATGTCCTCGCGCGTGCTAAAGGCGACCTGGATACGCCTGTCAACAACGTGGACCGCCATCAGAGAAGCAATGCAATCAATGCCCTTTGTCTCTGTGTCTCCGCGGCTGACACGAAACAACGTCAAAGTGGCATAAGCAGCTGAAGCCGTTGTGTTCTTTTGCACCACGAGCCGTGGGGCGTGGCAGGAGTAGGGCTCAGCTGCATGTCAGCCTCCCGTACCCGCCCGGCGACCCTTGGCGGCAAACTGTCGCGAAAGCATGTGAGTCTGCTCCCCAGAAGCGAGGCGGTGGGGCTCGTGGCCGCCGTGGTGGGCTCGTGGAGAGGCCGATACTGTAGTACATCCTTCTGGCGTGGGGAAACTGGAATTGGACACAGCAGCATCGTTGGCTCTCACGCGACTGTCCACTTTCCACAATATTTCACACCCTTGATTGATATTCCGCGCCAGCATTATTGACGTGTGGGATTGCACTTGTTTATCTTGAATGTATCGCAGGTTGTGCAATTCCAGCACGTTTCTAAGGATGCGAAAACGCGCCGGGCCAATGACGGCGCTCCGAAGCCGGAGCCCTGACTACGCGTCTGAAGTAACCTTGGATAGGATCATTGGTGCATCGCGCCCTATCAATTCTCCGACCGGTCCTGTTTCGCTGACGCCGGAGTATATGTCTTATAATGATAGCTTGGTGTAAGAGCGCGTCAGCTTGGCTGCTCCTTTTGCTCTCTCATTGACGTGTGCCCTTTTACTATCGCGCTGGGCAATACTGTTGGCGACATTGAAAGTTCAGTAGACACGCCGACCTAAAGATACTACGCAGCAAGTTCGCCTTCGATCGCCGTTCGTTCCAGTGTCATGAACCGGCTGACTAGTTGGGAAGAATCTCGAATTTTACATTTCCACAATTATACACAATGCACACTTTACGCCCCACCCTAGGCTGTTTCTCGAGGCGCCTGTGCAACAGAAGTAAGTCTGCGGTCGCACGCAGTTCTCCGTCGGATGACGAACAGCAAACGTGCCGAAAATATACACATTCCACAATCAATACGTCGCATAACAGTCGACCGAGTCTTGGTGTAGCACAAGCCTAGTTTGTGCAAGTCACGGTCGTTGCACCACGCTTCGTTCTTTCGCCTGAACGCTGGACGATGACCATGACGAAAGCACAAAAGGATTGGAAGATAGCCGTTCAGTTGACTACTCGCATAGTTTCTCGTAGACTGCTGAAGTCTGTCAAGCTGTACCACAGTAAGCTCTTCAGCACTCATCGGGGCAGAAGCAGCATCCTTTCCCGACCTAGAAAAACGCTTCGTCCCAGATGGTCCGGCAACCCTCTTCTCTAGCTAGTCGCATCGCGTAGCTAGACCGACGAACCGCCATCTATCGAGATGTTTTGCCCAGTGATACTTCTGCTCAGCGCCAACACTCTAACCTGATCCGCACAATCTTCCACCGTAGCCAACCTCTTCAGCTTGGTGTTGTTGATCGCAGCATTACGCTTCGCTTCTGGAAACTTGAGCCCCCATTCTGTGAGTAGCATACCCGGACTAATGCTATTCACACGAATCTTCGGCGCCAGAATGACAGCAAGACTCTTTGCAAGATGAATCTGCGCTGCTTTGGTAACAGCATAAGGAACGCTGCTTCCACTAGGCTTCACACCCGCCACACTCGCTGTCGAAATAAAGCATCCTTCGTTTTCGGCCAAGGCATCTTTCGCGGCATATGCCAGCCACATGTGCGTTTTCACATTCATGGTGAAACATTTGTCCCAGTCGTCGTCATTGACTTGCTGCTCAATGTCGGTAAAGGTCGTCATGCGCGTCCAGCCTGCGTTAGAAACGACGACGTCCAATCGGCCCATCTTTTCGATTGTTTCTTTTACAAGATTTTGGACTGATGGTTTCGAGGACATGTCTGCTTGGATCAGGTGGAAGCGTGGGCTTGCTTCTGAGGATGGGCCTGGTATGGATGATAGTTCCTTCATGAGAGATTGTGCCCGATCCGAGTTTGATGAATAGTTGATTACCTAGGTGATGTTAGCTACCACTCTCAGTCTCCAAACATGGGGAAATATGTGATTCAAGGCGTTTTAGACATACCACACGGAAGTCTGGCGCAAATACTCGTGCTATCTGTGCCCCCAAACCTGCCGAGCTGGCTGTGATCAATGCTACTTTTGTGGTCGCCATAATGGGTTATTGATGATACAAGGAACAAAGATACCGAAGCGAGATCTTATTGTACATTGGAGAGCAAACGGTCTATATGTATCACCGCGGGGTGGACGCGCGGGGTTAGCGTTCCGTCATGTGGATGCAGCTGCGGAACCATTCCGTAGACCCTTGGATATCTCAACAAGACCTTCCGTTTCCCGAACATCATCCTCTGTAAATGTGATTCATCGCCGAGAGAAGACACACCCCATTCTTCGCGCTCTTAGTTCTTCCCTCGTTTTACCCATCTCAGTGTCACCCTTTCCTACGAGCTCCAACGGACCGAGCTCATGAATACGATATCCATCTGGATGGTACTTTTCATCTCCAGGAACGGCGCCTCCAATAAGTCGCAGTAACAACGCCTTCGGTCCCCATCTTGTGATAAATGTCGGCTTTATATACCAAGGGTGAGCAATGTATTGGCCGAAGTGGGCGCGTCCAGTCTTTCCATCGAGTTCTGTGAACCATTCCTTACGTAGGAGGTGCGGTCGAGGGAGGAAGAAGTTTCGCAATGCAAATTTCCGAATCTCGACGACAGTTTCAAGGATCTGTGTGTAGGCAGCTGGCGGTTGCGGTAACCTGGGGCATGGTCAGTATGGTACACACATGATGCGAAAAGGCTTTTTTGTTTTCACTTACTTCATCGCCTTCTGCAAACGTGGCTCGAGCAACGAAGAAGCTATAGTGAACCCATACGGTTTGAGAATGGAAGGCACGTTGAATAAGGCGATATCGAACGTGCCGCGAGCGAGTGTTGCATTCGTATCGGCGGGTACCATATTCCGAGTTTCGTAGGCGAGGCTCCACGCCTCCAATTCTTCGAGCCAGTGCAACCCGTCTCGCCATCCTTGGCCCGCAGAAGGTAGAGTATCGTACGATATGTTCATCGCCTCACCCAAATCTTTCCAGTAGACTCCCATGGCGCATCTCTCAAACTCCGTTACACCACGCCACTCGTATTTGGCCGTCCATCTGATTGGCTCGAGCACGAAAAGACTAAGTGTGTATAACATATCGTCATTCGATATCTTCCCAGCCTTGATGTATCGACCATGAAGGTAATTCATGAGTGCTATGCCACTGATCGCTCTTTCAGAGTCTGGTTTGTTCAGCACTACCTCGGTGATCACGACGCCAGTATCTGCGGCTCGTTTGGATGCAGTCTCAGAATCTGACAATTGTCCTGTTGGGACCAGCAGCTTAGAAATGCCGGGGATGCCATACGTCTTGAAGAGAGCGAAGAACACGGAAACAGAAAACACGGTCGGGAACTCTAATTCGGCAAGAGCGAGCTGCATGGAATGCGCATCTTGAAGTGTCATACGGCTCCACGACGAGCGATCAGGGTACTGAATGGTCTGTCAGAGTCCTGATTCCATCATTGTTGGCCATACTTTGCTTACATTGAGGCGACGAGAGACGCTATCACGACGTCTATAACGGAGAACGCGAACAAGAAGCCAGTAGGCAGTGAGAGCGAGGCACATCCAGACCTTGGGACCGCATGAAGAAAAACGTAGGGGTTTAGTGTCAGTTGGCGGTGTGTAGTCGTTGGTCTGAGTTACTTGGACTTCCCTCATCACGAGCTCTTCTTTAGAAGCGGAGAACAGCACCCGGTGAGTTTGAAACTGCGACTATCAGTGAAGCAGGAGGTAAGTAAAGCGTCCATGGGGTGTGCAGGTAAAATTCGAACAATGTCAGTTTGTAAAGTTACGTTGCAGTCTCTGCGGCTCAGTCGAGCTAATCTGATCTAGGTAAAGTAACATTCCGTTTGTTCGTCGCCGTGCCACCTACAGGTCTGTCCGTGGACTAGAGTCATAGCTTCACGAGGGTGTTTATCTCTCCGAGTTGCACGATGAGACAAAAAAACCATTTTCGAAAGAAGGCGGGCAGAATGTATCAATCGATGCGTGGGACTGTAAATGATCAATCCTACAACTCAGTGTTGCGAAGGTGGTCTGAGGAAATAAAGACTTCTATAACTTAGGTATGGAAGTTTTCATCGTGGACAGAGATGATTTTTGAGGACCTGCCTTTCTCTTGTTGGTCATACTTCCATGGTTGTATTCAATTGCTACCTAGTTAAGTTTGCGTTGTAGTCTTAATTGTTGCATACCAGCATAGTCTTACGTCCGATGGCTCTGTTGAGGTGAAGCAGTTTTCTTTCTCAACTTGAAGAGAGAGTAGAGCTAGAGATAGTGATGACCACATGATCTGTTACGAGGCTCTGGCCAATGAGCTCCACTTCCTAGGATAAATGACGAGATTATACCAGGGTAGGTCTGCATCTTCCATTCAGGACTCTGTATTGTCTCTCGCACCTGGGTCTTCCACTGGCTTGGTCAAGGTGCGCTTGGAAATAGCAAGAGGTAAAGGGTACCAGGAGCGCATGTCAGTAAACTCTCCGAGTGGCACGACCAAGATCGCGACCTCCTAGTAGTATACACTAGTAGAACCATCGGGTAGAAGTGCATAGCCTAGAAGTAACCACCACTGGTGAATCTACGCCCGATCTCACCGGTGTTGCTGAGCTCAGCGATTGCGCATCCTCTATTGGGCGCACCGTTCGCGGGGTGCAGTGAAGGACGAAGTGGCTGACCAACAAGATCACCGCACCCACAAGGCTGAGAATGCACTCGATTTGACAACTCATGAGTGCATATAGAACCCCGCGTCTTGGGATGAGTGACAACGCATGTAATTTGAGCCTCATTTTCGAAGTGATGGCTGAGGTGGATAAAGGGAGGTGTTTGGTCCGGCTTTCTCCCAAGTACCAACGACCGCCATCTAGTATTTTCGCAACATGTCTGTGAGCGACAACTCTACCTTGGATGTATCGCATGAGAGCGACGGTATGGGCGGATACGCGTATGGAACGGGGGACATGGCTGTTAGCCCCGAAGAGAAATCGTGAGTTGAATTCCATCGACAATCTACAGAAAGACGCTGATGCTTTCAAATAGCCCATATGCGACCACACAGATAGTCGCATTGGACGTCGGACCAGAACCGACCCGGTTTCTTGTACACGATAGCGTTTTGAGCCGGAGCAAGGTTCTCGCGGCGAAGTCTTTTCCAGTGGCTTTCGTCCAGCAACCAGTACTTCTACCAGAGCTGGACCAGAACACAGCACACACTTTGATTCACTACTTGTACACTGGCAAATTTCAAAGTCTCAGTATCCTGGCGTCTTCCGACAAGATAATCCCTGAGTTGTACAAGTTGGGTACCAGTGTATATTGCGCTGCGGCTCGTTACAAGCTACCAGGGCTTGCTGAGTTGGCCCAGAATAAGATGAAGTCTCTCGACGAAGAAATGAGTATTTTTGATATTCTCTCTGTAGCGAGAGATCATGCATTCCCTCTACTACCAGAGGACGATGTGTGGTATCCAAGCTATGTCGAAGATTCGCTCAACAACGCCATGGCAGATGATCCGGAGCCGTTCCGAAAGCCGGATTTTATCACTTCAGTGGGTTCCGACAGCAAGCTCTTACAACTTGTCTGGAAGACCGTGATGAACAACTACGCTCGAGCGCCAGCAACACCTGCAGCCAACGACGAGGAAACTAGCACTCCAACAGCTGAACCTGTACCGGAGCTGCAGGAGTCGATCGGTGATGAAAACGATGTCTCTGCAGTTGTGCCACAAGAGACCGACGAGGCAGATGAAACCGCAGTAACAGCAGTTTCCGTGCCTGCTCCAAGAGACGACGTTATTGAGGCGCCCATTGTAGAAGATATCATCATTCCGAAGCCCAGCAAGGAAGCTGCTCCAAAGGCGGAAGACGCTCAACCCACTGAGGACAAGCCAGCAACTCTTGAGCCTTTCACAGACGAGCTAGACTTCAAGTCCTCGAAGACCTACCAACAGATGGGTAACAAGAAGCCAGAACAAGTCCAGGCTAGCGCTATCTCTTCGGGAGAGACCAAAGCATCCGCTCACGTACGCTCCGACTCAGTCGTGCAGATTGAGCAACCGTTAGCGCCTCTTATCGATGGAGGGATGAAGACCGAGGGTGGCACCAGTGGGAAAGATGAGGCTGAGCAAGCACTGGTCGACCAGGAAGAGCTGAAACCCCTCTCTAAAAAAGAGAAGAAGAAGAGGAACAAGGCTAAGACGGCAAAGGCGGGTGCTGTTGAGTGAAATCATGAGTAGTAGATAAACGTTGTCGTAAAGCAAACATGCTAAGTGTAGTCCCTAAGCTTAGCAAATCTGTCATGTGGGTACTTGAAACAGTACAAAGTGATGTGCCATATCTGCCTGCAGTCCCTATAGCCATAGTGTTTTGCTGTGATGATGACAGAGTGACTTGTGGGTCAATAAGATAAGCGGCACAAAGCTGCCCTTGTTTGTATGAGGTCCGACCTGAAGTAGTTGCAGCGTATATGCCTAATCCAAACGATCTTACTCTATACGTGAGAATTATGACGATTGGTCGACGTGGTGTCGCCATGACCCGCATCGGGGGTTTAGCGGCAGCCCACCGCCATACGCTAAAAGCCCCAACCCCTCTTCCCAGCCTCCTACTCCTTTACCTAATTCCTCAAGCAGCAGCGAACTATATCATCGAACTTCGCGTACCATCACTTTCGCTTGCTCTTTGAAGCACGCATGATCCTCTGTCAAATGTTCTTACCGACGTACTGCAATGCCTGCCAGAAAGGTCCGAAAAATTGCATAAGTCCCAGCTTTCCAAGGTTGTTCCCATGACGCACTGCAAGATAGTAAGGTGTATGTATTGCGAACATGACAATTAGAGCTGCGACCTGTAACTTCGTACATACAGAATCCCTACTGGATTCATACTTCTGTTGCAGTACACCAGTACGAAGGATTGATAGAAAAAACGAGGACGCGTGTTTCTGTTCCGTCACTGTAAGGCTGAATGAAGCCCTGGGCTACTCTTTGCAAAGGACTACCTTCAACCCTTCTAGCAAATCACTGGCTTCCACCGTTCATTCGGCTTGAAGATCGCGATAGCCTAGGCCCGCGCCTCATTCGAAGCATCGACGTGTAGGTGTCTTGCTGATACCGTCGAACGTTTGCGATATCAACCCAGCTAGACACAGTTGGTCTAACACGCACCATTGCAAGCTCTTCATCTGCTTCGCATTAGTCATTGCATCGAGCAGGTAGCTTTCGCGCCACTCGCCAGTCATGAGCATGCTCCGCCATCTCGAGATTGTCCAACGATTCGGATTTGGAAGGCAGTGTTTGCATGCCAGACCTATGCCGGACAACAAAACCATAATAAACATGGAGATCAGAGCGACTATGGCTTCTTTCGACCATTGTGAGTTGTTCCCAGTACCTGTGTTGAGCTGAGTCACTGGAAGCGATCAGTATGCCAAAAGTTACAACATTGCCATATGTAAGTCTGTTTCTTCTTTGCCATGCGTAGACCTCACACAAAACCAAATGTAAGCGTTACGCATTGCCCATTGTAGACATCGCGCATTGGCGTATGCACATGTGAATCTAAAGGGCGCCTGATACCGCAGATTGGAACTCGAAATTAACTTTGAAATCATACGTACGATTTGAGGCCATATCTGAAGGACGGCGACGACGGAGTTGCAAAAGCAGGAAACAACCACGGAGGCAATAAGTCTGCGGTAGTGGCTTCGAATTCGTGGCACTACGGGTTTGTAAGGGCGAAGTATGTGGTGCTTCTGCATCAACGTTGGATCTTTTATGGAGTAGCAAAAGCGTAGAAATAGAGCTAAAGAAGGCTGCGATCAAGTACGCCGACGATGACCCAAGTAGCCAGTCGCGTTGTCCTTTGCGAGATTCACGCTCTAACTGGCTAAGAGACTCGAGCTATCCGACCGGCATGGATCGGACGGGGCTTTTCGAGCAGGGGTCGAAAAAGGTCAAACAGACAAGCGCCGGTTGGTCAAATAGTATTGTGTTGCACCTGTATTGCAGGTTTGAAAGATGTGATGTTGACAAAGATAAAAGACGAAATGTGCTTTGAGAAGAACGAAGAATGGATGTGTGAATAGAGAGAGTTAGCGTGCGACTGTAATACTCATAGCAGGCATCCCTCGAAGCCCTGGCTGGCGCCGCCTCAACATCCGCGGTAGGGATCCGGGGGCTTGGGATCAGGATGTACCCTTTGCGTTTCTGACTTGACACCTAGCCTATTAGTGCTAGCGGTGCGCCACACCGGCCATCTGACCCGTCAAACATTACCCGCATTGGGATTGAGCGAACTGTTTAGTGGTACATAGCTTTGTGTGGCGGCTGCATTTCCAAGGATGTTGGTAAACAGTAGAACATTATATCAGCATGTCTGTGGTAATGGCAGCGAATCAAGGGAAGATATGAGCGGTGAACAGTCTCAGGGATTCGCTGAACCTTAAACGTGTAGAGCCCAGCTTAGATAGCGCGATGACTAGGTACGATGCACGCTGCAAAGCTCCAAGATGGAGAAATGCGGCGCACTTCAATCTGCCGGGGTAATGGACAATATTATGACGGAAGAGACTGCAAGTCACTCGGCTAACAAAAACTTGCTCGTCTTATAGAGACCGGTACTGCATACAAGATATTACCATAATGAATGAAGTGCTTTTGGCAGGGCGATGTCGCAATGTGATCGTCTCCGTCCTTCTCTCTGGTCCCAGAAGCAGCTTGACCGGAGTGTTGCAGTGAATGATGGATGACACGTTCGCGAGGCTTGGGGCGGTGCAGGTGGAGATGTGTTCAAGCGAGCCGGCATATCGTCAGCACAAGAATAGACGAGCTGGCTGGGTAGCTCTCAAGCACACTGGCTGGCTTACAAGAATTTCAAGACATCGACTTCCAAATCTCGGCCAAAGTGATACTGCTTAGGACCAAATCTCAAATCAAGGTACAGGACTCTGCGGCAGAAAAGCACGAGGCTGGTCAAAACAGTCTTCTCGTCTAGCATCTTAGAAGCATATCTATAGATAGTAATTGTAATTTACGAATGATGCACCTCCTTGGATGACAAAAAACTTTCATTGAAGGTTGTGGACAAGACAGGACAGAATTCCGAGATGTTGATAGTTAGTTCTACCTGGAGATAACAATGCAAGAAGGCGCATGGAGCGAAAAGAAGCTGATTGGTGCGAAGGTGGTAGTCAGGAATATGCAGCATCGGTTTCAGCCTCGTGGGTAGGACGCGAGAAAGCGAACGCAGCTTACTTCCCAACGTACGTGGTACAGATGATTGAATGTAAATGACGGGCATCTTAGTTGACTTGTTCGGCTGTGCTCAACTGCACTCCAGCCACAGCCACAGTATATTTGGTGGTGAACCCTGTACTGACAAACCTGTCACTATTGTCACCTGGGGCATCTTCAAAAAGGCGTCACCGCCGCCCATCACCACCGTATGTCGTTCACTCGACTTGAAGTATTCGATAGCCTGGGTCCGCGCCTTATCCGAAGGATTGATGTATATGTATCATGCTGGTATCGCCGGACGTCCGCAATATCGACCCACTCAGTCATGATTGATTTTGTACGTGCGATTGCCAGCTCTTCGTCTGTATAGTATCAGTTTTACGTTGCGGGGCAGATGCTCATCCCAACGTACCGTTCATGAGTATTCTCCCTCCCCTGTGCATCCAGAAGTCCGATGCCTTCATACGGCTCTTGTAAACTATACCCATGCCAGACAGTAGCAACGTAATAAGCAATGAAATCATGGCGAGGATAGCTTCTTTAGACCAAGAATGATCCGTTTCGGTGGCGGCAGCGGGACTTGTCACTGGGAGAAGTCAACATATACGCAGGTGCAGAGTCTGTATGACAGTAGATCCAACCAGAAGTTCATCCCGGAGTGTGCGTAACAAACACGAGGTAACTATATCGAATTGCGACGTACAATTTGCAGACATGGCTGTGTGGCGTGGCAACCTTGGAAACAATCTCGGTCTATGTACTGCAGCGGTTATAGAGGATGTCGATATAATTCGGCGAACACTTAAACTGTGCACAAGTGGTGTATGGAACAGAGCACACCAAGGTTCTGTGAAGTTTAGTGTTTAAGAGGAAGCGTGTCGATAACTGGGCTGTATGTATAGACGCTCGGACCATGGTGTAGTATCGAATCGAGAGGGTGGCCAGTAGGGTTGGAGCAAGCACGGAAAGCCTTAATATCTCAGGCCAGCTCACGCAGCCAGTGCAGCTGCCTCGGTCCCTGTCCACCGGTAAGCCGCTGGCTTGGCCCCGCGCTAGCCTGTAGTCAGGATGTTCAAGCAGATTTTTGGGCCTCCAGTCCGCTCGCGAGGGTCTCGGAGGGAACCCACCCCTCATTTCACCTTGATGCTCCAGGCTCGCCCCAACGACCGGTAGTCAAAAAGTCCAAACCTCATTTGTAAGCACCGTCACATGACTAGCCTCAGCGCAAAACGCTCTCGGATCCTCAGTCTCTTGTTCTGCAGGTGGTTTTCCTCTGTCCCGTTGTTGAAAATACAGATGTCAGTTATTGAAGTGAACAAATTGCATTTGTTAAAGAAAGTCGCACGTGATCAAATTAATTTACTGGGGATAGGGACAGTCTTGTTGACTTTGAGGAGGAAAGACAAATTCGAACGATATGAAATCAAACTCAAAATCAGGGCAGTATCACTCAGACTTGAAATGAAGTGAACTTACCAACAAGATACGTAGAATGGCGGCGCGTTGAGACAAAGAGAAGTGAGTAAGCGTGTTTTTAAATACTCATTTCATTCCCTATCCAAAACTATTTATGCTCAGAGAATCTCATACCGATCTTACCCTCAGCGACCCGGCACTTACAGTAGTTACGTATGCACCAGGCGCTCAAGGTCATGGGAAGAAGGTATATACATGAGCAATCCAGCCCATCCGAAACCCTCCCAGCGGACAGGTAATAGCAAAACTAGTAAATATCCTCAAGACATTATCGACTAAAGTATCTCGCCTCGCCTGCTCCAATACCGACCACATAGACATGACGGGGGATGATTTATTGCGAGGCTTCGGGGTATAAGCATCGAAAAGCAAAGAGGTCTAATAGCGACTGGACTTCCACTGCATACCTTGTCACAGAGTAAGTGTCCATGTAGAGCATGCAGTGGGAGCAGCCGCTACTGAGAATCGAAGCTAAGCGAAGGGAACGCGGTAACAGATTCGCAAGGAAACCA